GAGGACGACTGGAGGAAGTCTTAATGACACATTGGAACCAAGGGTCCAGCCCCTGGAGCCAGGATCTTGGTCTCAAGGCTGACCTCTGCCTCCTGGAGAGAAAGGTCTTTCCATTTTCCTCCCTCCCTCCCTCTCCTCCCTGGTGTGGTCCCTACAGGACTCTAGGTGAGAGGTCCCTTGCTAGACCTTAGCCTCTGGCACCAAGGTTGTCAGGCTCTAAGTGTTCTCCTAGACCAGTCTTTGGACAGGAGTTGGAGTGGAGCCAGCATTTGACAATGGAGGTAAGAGGTAGTGACATTGGGGTAGACAGACCTGCTGCCTCTTGGCTTCAGATCTTCACTTCCCAGTCTCAGCCCATTGTTTGGGCTACACCCTCCCCATCGTCTGCCTAGGCTGGATCCCCAGATCCTGGAGCTGCTTTCACTGGGCCCTATCAGTTAGGGTTGGGCTCATCTGCATTCTGAGAGGTTTGATCTTTCCCCTCCTTGGTCAGTCCCACAGCTCAGCCCCTGGCTCCTATTTGACCAGGGGCTAGCTCTCCTTCCTGCGCTCAAGATGGGACACATGGTCTGACACTTGAAGAAACACTAAAGTTGTGATCCCCTACACCACCTCCAATTCTGCATGTCTGATCCTTAGAGGCTGGGAGGAAGTGTCTTTACCCTTGCTCAGAAATTCAAAGCAATGACTAGAGAAAGTATGGGATTCAGAGTGAGGAGATCAGTTTGAATCATTGTGGGCCTCATTTTTCCCATCTGTAAAACAGGAATCCTAGTACTAGTACGAGTGGGGCCAGTGAAAGAGTGATGTGCAGGCACAAAGACCCAGAGTCCAAGAATCATGATGGGAGAGCGGGACCTCACAAAAACACCCTGGTACTTATTAAACAAGGATTTGAGTACTAAATGCTTTATATGAATCATTTAATACTAAGGACAATCCTATATAAGCAGGAAGTTGAAGCCTAGAGAGCTGTAATCTGCCCATTTAATAGCCAGTAGAATGGCAGGGGTGGGACTATGGGATTAGAGCCAGTTCCAGTTTATCTCCCTTCCTCAGGGAGTTAACACCCAGCTCCTGTTAGGGGAGGGGAGCAGAAGCCATGATGAGAAGGGGCAGGGCAGTGAAGTGGGGGGAGTGTCTGAGACAGCAGGCCTTCTCCCATTTTCATATGCCAAACGGGCATCCTCCATCCTGACAATCAAACCTCCTTTGTATATTTCTTGTCATCTATCCATCCAACAAACTTTTATCAAACATCCTTAGGCTCCAGGCAATGTGCTGGGTACTGAAGAAAGATGAGCTGACTCTTGTGCCAGCCTTTGGTTGCTTGACCACCTGCGACAGAGCTGGACCAGCAGAGCATTATCAACAGCATGGAAGGGCGAGGGTGCAAAGGTTGACATGGGCTGCGGCACAACACAGGAGAGTGCCCACAGAAGGCCCCTGGAGGCAATGACCAGTGTGGAATTCTGGAGGATAAGATGCCACGGGCCATGTGGAGGAAAAGGGGTGGGGCAGGCAGTGAGACAGACCAGGTCAGCAGCAGTTCAGCAGGGTCAAGAGGACTTATGGCAGTGTAGCTGAGGCTTGAACCCTGGCATATCAGTTAATGTCTCTGTGACTCATTGTTTCAAGAGGATTGAATGAGTTAATGAGAAGCCCTTAAACATGCCTGGCACATGGTAACTGCTCTGTGCACTGGCTGTTGGGGTTGCAGCCACTTTGGCTTTGTGTGAGGTGGGAGTGTGTAGTGTGCCTGTGTGTGGTCAAGGGTGCGGCTGGAATGGGAAACAGGAGCCAGATTACGAAGGGCCTTCTAAGCTAAACTAAGGACTGTAAACAGGGAGCCACTAAAAGCTTTATTCCCTCCTCACTTACCTTGACAGGCCCTGAGACTCCCCCTTCCCTACCACCCTCTGTCCCCAGGCAGTGTTCTCACTCGAAGACCCTATCTGTTCCATCCCTTCCCCCTGCTCACTGTCACTCTTGGGCTCAGAATAAGAATCATCGCCATCCAGTTCTATGCACTGCATGGTCGAGAGGGTGGCAGGACAAGATACCTGGGACCCTCGTCTCAGAACTATATCCAACTTCACTTCCAACACAAGTCTCACTTTGCTTTCAGTAGCACGGGAAGGGAAAGCAGGAAGATTTCCCAGCAGGAGGGTCTGCATCCGTGCCCACTCCCAGCTTCATTTGGTTGGCTTCAGGCAATCAGCCAGGCAGCCTGTCACTTCACTTTTCCCCACCTTAACGAGTTGCACAGTCTTCTTGAGCGGGTTATTATCAGGCTGGTCAGTTTCTCAGGGCTGTGGCCTTCATGCTCCTTGGCCAGATGCTTTGCAAAATATTGGGGGTGCCCATCGCTAGCAGAATGAAATGTAAACTCTTTGGCATCTCCGCAGATCCTCCATAATCCCTCCTGGTTGACCTCTTCAGCTTCGCCCTCAACTCCAATCTTCCTGGACTCAGGACTCTTTCATGGAAGTCAAATGTGACATCTGGCTATGATTCTACATGTTGGGATCCTTAGATCACTTTATCTCAAGGATGAAATGAGATTACTAGGTCTGGCCCCACCATTTTTTTTAGGGTGTGTCCTGATATTCAGTACCCCACCGAAATCTCCTCCTACCCCTCTGATTCCTGTCCTCTGCTGAGAAGTATTAGGTTTCCCTAGTACTGGCTTAACAAACCACCACCACCAAAACCACCTTTACTGATATTACTCACACACCATTAAATTTGCCCTTTTAGAGTGATTGTAATTCAGTGGGTTTTACTTTATTCAAATTGTTGTACAACTATCACCATTCATTCCAGAATATTTTCATCACCTCAAACAAAGATGTGACCCATCAGTGTCACTTTCCACACTCCTTGGCAACCACTAATCTATATTCTGTCTCTATGGATTTGCCTATTCTGGACATTTTATAAAATCATACAAAGTGTGACCTATTGTGTCTGGCTTTGCATGTATTCTTTATGAATGCTCAATCTTGAGGTAGAAATTTCCCTGCTAGCTTGTGTCCCAGGTGTCCACTGTCCTTTATCTAGCAGTAGCCACTGACTCAAGGAAATTGACACTCCAGAACTGTTCGGAGACCTACCTAAATAGCACAGACTTGGCAAAATCTCTGGCATAGCTACCCTGGCTGTGTATCAAAAACCAAACACTCAGCAAGTATTACTTAAAAGTATTTTTTTTTTTATTTAACTTTAATTTCTGAGGTAAAATACTTTTTTCTTTCAACTTCCATAACAAAATACAGAGCTATCAGATACCCCTGGAAAAAAATATGTATATTATACATATATTTCTATAACATTACATCATATATATAATATATATGCAAAAATTTGAAGACTTTATAGAAAGCAGGACATCTAAAAGGCACTGCACAATGGAGTTAAGATTACTTACATTTTATGTACATATACACACTTTATTCTGCTTAAGCTAACTAATGAAGTCATCTTTTACATGTGAATATCTCACTCACAAATCCCTGCATCACAATTTTATAATTCAAAGAATGCCTAAATTATTTCAAAACAAATTAAATGGTAACTTTTTTCCTCAACAAGAAACTAAAAATGGAACAGTTCTTAAAAGACTGGATCAGAGTTCTTCTCTGTAACAAAATTAAAATTTCATTAGTTTATAAAACAAAAAGCACAAACATAATTATGGAATAAATTAAAAAAAAAAAAAAAAAAAAAAGGACAAATAGCCAACTCACTCTACCCGCTTGGTGAGAAGTGAAATACTTCAAACTATATTTTTAATGCTTCTGAAAGCTTCTTGGCCCACGGAGGACTAGGGTGCAGTAATTCCCTGTATTAGTGAGTTGGGTTTAATGCAGTGCAGCTTGAAAGCTGGGGGTGAAGGGACTGATGACTTGTTTACAGTTCACTCATAGCTATTCTCTTAAAAAAAAAAAAAAGTGCTCAGCAAGGCTGGATGCTCTTAAGATTGACCTCTACTATTTTCTTTTTTTCAATAGTCAAAAAAGCAAACTGCGCGAACAAGTTCTTGATTAATAAAATTTCAAGATTTAATTTGTAAAGTTTTAAGCATTTGGCACAGCAAAATTCAGAAAAACTGGGGGAGAAAATAGGTCTGGTTTTGTCCCCCTTTTTTCTACCTGCTGTTGGACAGTGATAAGATGCTCACAGAAAAGACAAGACTGGCTTTGTGCCAGGTGCTGCCAGGCGCAGGCTGGGGGGAGAAAAACTAACTCCCACCCCTTTACCCCAGGAATGACCCACCTCCACATTCCCTGGTCCACTTCCTGAGCAAGCCCAAGTTCGGCTCTGTATAAAGGACCCTCCCCTCCACCCCAACCCCAGTGTGCAGTGCAAATTGACCAACAATTTACTGGTGGAATGGCAATCAACAAAAGAGCTAAACACCAAATAACTTCTTAAAGCCAAAAACATTTTCATGGAATTGAACATTTTTTGAGTGTTTTTTTCAAGTGTAAAAGCAGTGACTTTTTGTTCAAACAAAAGCAGCATCTAGGAATTAATTCTGGCACTTGGGTTCTAGGGGGTTACAGGTATGCATCACGGTTTCTCTCCCTCTTATTTTAAAGGCCTCATGTTTCTATTCCTGAGTTAATACCGACACCTGCTGGCCCTCCCCTCTAGTGGACAGAGAGGGTGGCCAGCCAGCCTCCCTGGTTAGGTCGGGCAATGACAAGACATCCCTCCTCCATGTGCCCGGGCTTGCTTTCTGATGAGGTAAGTTGAGGCGCAGAGAAAGAAACTGACAAAAACATAACCAACCAAAGGCACCCTTTGCAGCGTGACCAAAGCCTGAGTCCCTAAGGGCCTGCTCTGTCAGTCCCTTTCCCAGGGAAAGACAAGTCACTCATGGAATCTGAATTAAACAAGGAGAACACTTGCCAAAAAAAACCCGATGGACTCAAGTCATCCCAAGCCACCTAACTCACTCACCTGCTCTAACCTTTCCTGAACCCTTCTCTCATGCATGCTCTCCAGTTTAAAAAAGAACACCCACCTCCAACATTAAAAGACAGCCCTCCAATGCTTCTTAGCATAGAGTTCACTTCGGCTAAGGTAGTCAGGAATTTCTCCATTCCTAGACAGCATCCCTGTGCCCCTATCAGGTACGGAGTTAAAACTTCTCCCCCTGTTGCCCTGCTGCCAGGTGGATCTGGGCCACGGTTAGGTATTCCCACACAACTCATAGGTATATGTGCACACACACACAGAGTTGGCTGTGGCTTCTCTCTCTGCCCTTAGTTCAGGTTCCTTTTCCTTCCTAGATCATACTTTCCCAATCCTTTGAAATTGATGAAAGGGAGTTTTCCATGAAAAAACAATCCCTGTCTGTTAGCTGCAGTCTCACATAGGATAGTCAATTGATCATGAATGTCATAATAGTCTAGGGAAATGGGTATGGCAAGAATGGCAACGCCACAATGGGACAGACATGAACTTTCATTCATACCAGGCTTTTTGGCATTTGGTTGCCTTCTGTCTCCTGTTCCTTCAGGTTCAACAAACATCCACTTGAACCCTGGCTTCCTTTTGCATTCCCAGGTGTCACCTGTCTTTAACTCCCACAATCTTGCCCTTTTGCTATCCATGCCAGTAACATCAAGAGGGGATGACTAATACTAGCTCAAAATTTAACCATGCCTCAGAATTCTTGGATTATCTGAAAAGTTGTTCATACCCTTTTACAGGTTTATTTTGACAGACCCGTATCATGTTAAAGTATGTTCGTTAAGGCTTGACTTAAAATGATGAGAACCAGACACAACAAAAATATATCTTCACCAGTGTCATGCTTCTCAGTGAACTCGCTACAGTCACACTCTGGTTTGGCTCCCCAAACCCACGATGGAAAAGGAAAAATTAAAGTCATTTTTGTTGGGTTTTGTTTTTAAAGGCATTGGGTTACTTCCTGCCTCTTCTTTCCTCCCTGAACAAGAGTTTGCAACTCTTCATGGCTTCTTAACAGGTGAAGGTGAAAAGTCCAAGAAATTCACAGCAGGGCTTCCTGTCTCAACCATGCAGCCAGGCTCAGTGCCTGCTCCACTCTAATTGGCAGTATGTTTCATGAAAATATTTTTTAGAGGAAAAGGAAAAAATGCCAAACAACAAAGAAAAAAAGCAACCTCTGAACACCCCAACCCTCCCACCCAGTAAGACTGAGATTATCTGTCTCCCCCTGAAATAATTACAAAGAAACATCTCAGGCAAATACTGAGTATTAATGGTCTCTCACTGCTCAACCTCCCAACCATGCCCTTTCCCCTTTTATATGTAACTCTCAGAGCAAAATAAATTCATTAATGGCTTTCCTATATATAAATACAGTAGAAAAGAAAGAAGTTTGGAACCTGAACATCATGGGGCCAAAACAGTGTCTTGGCCCTTTGGGAGCTTGTCAGAAAGTATTAGCCTCAACAAGAAATAGAGGCCCTTTCTCCTTTCAGTTCAATACCCTTCCCGTGTCCTACTCACCAGGGAAAGAAGTGTGTTCATATCCCACCTAATTTACAACAGAAGATTCCCAATCCCATCCCCAAAACATAAAAATACAAGTCTATGCCCCTAGAATGATCAAACCAGTCTAACCCCCCTCCCCCCCAAATCTTGCTACATAAATACATGTGTGTGATTATAGTATAAACAGCTCCCAATCCACTTCCAATTCTAAGCATCAGCAGCTGCCGTTGCCAAGCCCCGTGGTCCTGACCCATTCCAGAGGAACTTGCCATCCTTTCTCAGCTCTCGGGCTTCAGGGTCGTCATTCCAGCGCCGCTTCAATCGAAGCTTGGGGGGCATCAGGGCATCTTCTTTCTTCTCAGGTACACTGGGCTCTTTGCCAGGCCTGTCTTCACTGTCTTCAGTCACCTCTAGGGGTTCTTCACTTGGGGTGCTAATGGGTACAGAGGGCCAGATAGGTGGTGCCTCTGGGCGGGCAAAGATGGTGCCTTTTTCCTCCTCTATGGTCCTGCTTGGCACAGTGCCCTCTTCTTGAGAGTGTTCCTCCTTCTCTTGGGCTGACTGCCTGAGACTCTCAGGATCCTTTTCAGAGGCTGGCTCTACCTTAATTCTTGGGGGGACAGGAGCCATGGTGGAAGCAGTAACAGGTGCTGACTCCTCCCTGCTCTCTACCCTCTCTCGGTTCTTCCGCCCAACTGGTGGGGGCTGCAGCTTGATAGAAAATTGGGTTGACTCCTCAGGATGCATTTGGCACTGCAGTGGTGGAACCATGAGCCCTGGGTAACGGGGAAATGTCCGGGGACTCAGATGGTAGTTGAACACAGAACAGGCTTGAGAATGAAGGTAGTGTTTCATTTCCTCAGGGTTGAAGGAAAAGCAACTGCTGCTGGTGAAAGGGCTCAGGCCTGGTGATGGGCTATACGAGAAGATAGTGGGAGTCAGGGAGAGGGCTGGTGAAATGGGAACATTAAGGACACCTCCTCGGCCAGGGATTGGAGAGACAGCGAAGGGACTGTGGGGGTCAGGGTAGATCCCTGGCCTAGTGAACAGAGGAAGCATGATGTCGGGCTTGCGTTTCTGATGGCCAATCCCTCCTCCACCGACAGCATTCCGGGAGGACATAAGATCCACGCCCCGGCGCCAGTCAGCGGCTGAGCCATCCTCCAGCTCTGAAAGCTCCACCTTTCTATCAGTGCCATTACTCAACTCCTGGCCAGAAGTAGTTAGGGAGCTAGTAGAGAACCGCCCCGGCTGCACATCACTAGTTGGAGAATGAGTGTCCAGAGGTGGGAAATGGAACCGGGAAGAGGCTGTTGGAACTGGTGGTGCACTCTGGGGAACCACACCTGCGATGGTAGAAAAGACAAAAGGCTACTTCAGGTTTGGTCATTCATTATCAGCACTTTTACTTATGTTAAATAAATACAAGTTTAGGAACAACAGAAAACACTCCAGGTGGACTGATTCCTTAAGCTCCCTGTCTTCCTAGTACTACTGCTCAGCTACCTCTTTTCAATTTAGTTGCCATCTTTCTGTAGCCTCTTACTTTGTCTTCACAGTACGTTTTACTACCTGAAACATGATTTTCTTGTTTATCTGTATTCTAAAACATAAATTCCACAAAGGCAGGGACTTCCTATTGTTCACAACTAGATTTCCAGCAGTTTGGGGCTTAACAATGAGTAAGTGCTCGATAACTATTAGTTGAATGAATGAATGGGTATAAGAGTATTCTCCTCTGCAACTCTAAATACCGTGTGTATATCACCTGCTTTAATTCTCAGCTTTTCAAATAGTCTTTTCTTATTTTCACAATTTTGGCGACATCTATAAAGCAAGCAAACAAATCAAACAAACAAAAAAACCCCAAAAACAAAATTAAAAATGACATTCCTGTAAAGCAATGCATTAAAAGACCAAAGATCCTGCACCGAGTATCTATGGCCACAAATAAGGCATATTTTCAGAATAAAAACAGATTTTAAAAAAATCCATGTTTATTAAATTCTTATGGTATATACTTTATAATTTCTGATATACAATCAATACTTTACAGAAAATTAAAAATTTTTCAATCTCTCCAAATCTGTATTTCTCTTAACAAATTTTATATAATGACCTTCATTCCCAACCTTTTTCTTTCTTTTAAAATATGTTTTTATCGATTTCAGAGAGAGGAAGGGAGAGGGAGAGATAGAAACATCAATGATGAAAGAGAGTCACTGATCGGCTGCCTCCTGCATGCCCCCTACAGGGGATCAAGCCCGCAACCTGGGCATGTGCCCTGACTGAGGATTGAACCATGACCTCCTGGTTCATAGGTTGATGCTCAACCACTGAGCCATGTCGGTCAGGATCCCAACATGCTTTCAATGCTTTTCAAACACTGAGAACACTGGGCAAAATCCAGGACCCAACGCTCCCTCTCTCAAGGTCACCCGCTAAAATGCGAAGCTCTAAGTTACCGACAACCATGCCAGACGTGTCAACTTCAGACTCTCACAAGTTCTCAACTCTCCAAAAGGCCCTTCTGATAAATAGGGCATAAGAAAGGTGTGCCAGCTGAGGCCTCAGGGACCCTTTGGGTTCCTAGAAAAAATTAGTAGCTTCTATCACTGGTGATGTCAGGAAGGTTCCTTACACTCTGAGGCAGATAAGGGAGAAGGAAAAAAGGGCAAAGAAAAAAGAAAAATCCAAATGAGTGAAAGTATGGTGATCTGGGAAAAGAAACAAAAAAAGTACGTAAGATACAGTGTGGTTAGGCATCATTCCCAATCAGCTGCCTTCTGCTATTTGTATAATGGCGTCATCCTCCACTACGACTCTGCTGGTGTGTGCAAGACTAGCTTTCTAGGCACATGTGACTGAGTAACACTGGGCCAGAGTAGCGTTTCCCAAACTGATACTTTCCAGAAAATGCAGGACTTTTTTCCCCTAAAACTACTGATTTAATCTTACAATTAGGAAAAAAAAAGATGGACGATCTTGTACATAATTATAGTCGAGCCAAGAGGGTTGCAGGCCATAAGTATCTCTTCTTCCAGCCTTTTACAGTGGCTAAAATTCTATTCATTTTGATTCTTTTGGATCTTGATTTATTATGAGCACATCTATTCAGAAGCAAAAAAACCCCACTTCTGTGTGTTCTGAAGGACTGAGTAACATTAAACATAATGTGAGAAGGTCCTGTCTCCTAAACAATTTTTTTCTTTTTAAATTGAAGGATATCTCAAGTCTTTACATAGACTAAGATACACTGTAAATCTGCAAGAAGGAAACAACACATAGCGTTTTCAAATGCATTCAGAGGGAGTAAAGAAAGGTGAAACCTAGGAGCAATGCTGAAGGTAGCATTCAGAACCCCTCACCTCTTATTGCAGCAGCCTTCACTGCTCTCCACCCTCTATTACATGTTGAGACAGCAAATCTAAGGTTTTATTTGAAAAAATAAGTACTCTGCTTTAGTTCTGGTACCTTCTACCTTGTAGCCTGGTGCAAGTAACCAAATGGTCTTTAACCACCCTCCAGCAAAATGAAAATAAGGCCTTTGCCTAGGTTCAAACCCTGGTCCCATCACTTATTGTGTGACTCTGGATAACTTATCTTTCTGGCCTTAGTTTCCTTACCTGTGAAATGGGTAATAACAGGACTAATCTCATGTTTTTAACACTAAAAGAGTTAATATTTGTGAAGATCTTAGAAGAGTATCAGCCCATAGCAAAATGCATATAAGTATTTGTCAGAATAAGGAATCTATTAATAATCATGGTTCGAAATAAAAACTTTAAAAGGCATTTATTATTTGAATGTGGACAATATATTAGATAACAGTATTAGAGCAATGTTAAACTTCCTGGGTGTTGTAATGTTATTGTGGTCATGGAGGTGAATGTCCCTGTACCTGGGAAATACATGCTGAAGTACACATGGGCGAAGTGTCATGATGCCTGCAACTTAATCTCAAGACTTAAAAGTGTGTGTGTGTGTGTGTGTGTGTGTGTGTGTGTATAAAGGGATAAATTATAGCAACAATGTTAATGATTAGTGAACATGGGAGGACATGTGGCTGTTCACTGTTTTTCCAATTTTTCTGTAGTTTAAAGTTTTCCAAAATAAAGGTATATAAACAACTTGGGGTGGCGAGGCATAAAGGGAGGTCCCAAGTCTATCCTTGAACTGGTATGTACTGCCCCCACACTCTGACAGGTTATCACTTTTACTAGTATTTTCTGTATCTTCCTTTTGTTTATTATGCAAGTACAAGTAAATACTTAAAATTTCACAGGATGCTTTTAATGATACAAATGAAATACTGTATATAGAAGTATTTTCAACACTATTCAAATGTTAAGTACTCTACCCTAAACTATTAACAGTGAGTAGAATTATGGGGAAGGGAAAACATTCACTTTACTTTTACTCTATGAACTTCTGTATTATTTGGATAGGTTACAACCAGCATGTATTGCCTCATTTTTAAAAACACACAGATCCAAACAGGCCAACTGTATCAACCCACCATCTAGACAAGATCTCTCTGGCTTCCAAGGTCTAAATCCATACAGCCTACTTCTTAAGAGGGCTTATCACATTCCACATTCTGAATTGTATTTTGAACCTAATATTATCTTATCTCTCCTGCTAAAATATAAGTTCCTTGAGGGAAAGAGTACTCCCTCTATTTTTTTTTTTTTCTCTTCTGTCTTTAGGGCTTACCTGTCAACAAATTATTTGTTGACCAAATGAATGAATCCCAATCCAGAGGAAAAATGGTTGATTTAGTAAATGAGAGCTGTGTTCAGTAGCTAAATCTCTCAGATATTGTTTCCCGAGAAGCTGTTCAACAGGTACCTGTATTCAACCTACCCTGATCAATCTTTGACTTTGCTGTCATCCTTAATCTTATCATTTGTAAAATGATATTGAGACATATACTTTACCCGGCTAGCAGGGCTGAATGAAATAATTCACAAAACACTAAACAAAAGTACCTTTGTTAAGTAGGTACTCAATAAATGTTGCATTTCCTTTGTCATAAAAAGTTAACCTGAAACAACATTTGGTCTACCTGGGTAAAAGTTCCCTATGAACAAATGATGTTCTTTGGAGCTGTATCAGGAATAAGCGACCAAGCAGTGTGCCTAAAGGAAATACACACTGCTCTTCTTTCCCTGGGACTTTTCTGATTAGAATCTTGAGCTTAGTTGAGGATGAATGTTGGCTCCACTGCCTTCAGGCAGAATGAGTTGTGCCAGGCCACTACTGTTAGGTCTCTAGACCAGAGTCTTCACAGAGTGAGAGTCAAGGTTTCCTTGCCTTGGAAAAGCATATTATTCCCAGGGGCTGATGGATGCCCCATTACAGGTTGTCCAATGGCTAGACTCTGGGTTTTCAATAGACAAGAATGGGTGAAAGACAGAAGAGCAAGACTATCAAAGCCTTTTTTGGGGGAGTGGTACAGAAGGGCATGAACACCAACACATTCTTCAAAGTTGCTGGTATGCCCATCTAGAGTACCATTACGCTAGGTGTACAAGGAAGGAGCAAGAGTGAAAAACAGAGGAAATGGAATTCCAGGGGCTAGAACAGGTTTGATTTCCTGACACCTCTCCCTCAGGCACAAGGAAAGAAACCAGGTTGTAATTAGAGAGATACATTCCAATACCACTTTTTTTTTTTAAATGTATGCCCCAGGGACAGGAGGGAGTGGCTACAGAATGAAATGGAAATGTAATGATAGCAGTATCAAGCTAAAACTGCCCTAACTTGTTGTGTAGTAATTAGGTATCTGCAATGGATCTCAGCATTATATTCTCTCAGCCACACCCCCGTTCTAATTTTTCAGGTTGTTTCCAACTTTTCCATGAGAAGTTGTATTACTGTAGAATCACAATTAGATTTCTTTGCCTCAACATAAATGCCACAAAGACTGTATTGACAGCTAGTCAGAAACTGGTTAATACAATGTTTCTTGGGCAGGGGTATGATTTGCATCAACAAACACACTCTTGTAAGAGACTGCCTTTTGCTTTGAGAGAGGCAGACCTGAAACCTCTGTGAAGAGCTGTGATGAAAAGCTGTCACCAGAGATCCTAGAGGGGAAACCTTGCTGCACTTACGAGTGAAGGTCAAATAACCCCAGAGTCTTGTTCTCTGAGGAGCTGCTGGTATAGATCAAAGACACTGCTTTTCACTGCAAACATATGAACATCCCCCTCTGTGATCAAGGATGCTGTGGTTTTGATGATATTCACATGATAAGGGAGAGTTTGGTAGTTTCATAGAAAATCGGAAGTGTTTGTAGAAACAAGTTCTTATCTATGAAAGAGCCACCGGGTAGGGTGTTAAAACTCTGAGTCCTAAACTTAAAGATCAACATAAACCTACAGAACATCATTCCTAAAGAGGATAGTGTAATAGTATCTAGGAAATTACAAATAACATGTAAAAAAGGGAACCAAAACAACAGCCCAAACACATTTATCTTGATGCTGCAGAGCCTATCACTCTTGGTATAAGATGAATAGAAACACCTGAGCAAGAACAGAGGCAATCCAAGGGGGTCACATTATTGTTTCTAAAAACCTTTTAATCATGCCAGTCTTAGACTTGGGTTTTCAGGATTCTTCAACTCAAAATTCTTTCCCCACCAAGAGACTTTGCATCTTACCACTTGATCGAATGTTGATGAACGGGTAGTTGGGCGTCACCAGCTTGTTGAAGTTAAATTTGTAAGTAAACCTTTTCCCTTTTGTTTTATGAAGGATCCTCTTATTGTAATAGTATCTGTAAAAACAGGAATATATGTCAATTTATCTTCTACCTACTGGAAGTTGCTACACTTGGGTAATCACTAAGAGCAGCAATTTTTGCTGGAAGTATTACATGCAATCATCCCTATCATTCTTTTGCTCATTTGCCCTAAGGTTAGGGCTGGGACACCTAGGAGTTTCCTTTTCTCATTCAATTTTCAACTGAGTTGATCCTTGGCTAGAGCTTTACAAGAACAATCTCACTTTAAGATCCTGAATACCTATCCTAGCCCCAAACTCCTTTCTATTCCATCTCTCTACAGTTTCAATTCTGTAGTACATTTCCTTCCTGTTCCACTATATGTCACTACCTAGTTTCTCTTTTCTGCCTTACCCAGGTGGGGACAGACAAGTCTCTTGGGAGACCTAATGTGGTTCATCTGGATGAAGGAATGTGGAACTGTTCTATGGTGGCAGGTAAAACAATGGTATACCCGGATCTGGAAAACAGCACTCAGCTTGGCCTGCTTCACTAAAGAGGATGTGAGAGGCTCCAGCAAAGCTGCCACACAGATTTTACATTCAGGGTTACTAAGAATGAAAAAAACTTCATTTAGCGAGCTTCAATGTACCAGGAACCTTTATCCTAGCATCTATTCATTAGCACAGGTCATAAACCCCTTGAGGGCTAAGGGTTATGAAATGTAAAGACTGACAAGTGGAAAAGAGAAGCTGAGAAACTTATAGATCAATCTTGGACATGCTGGAGCAACCTATGGACTGACAACTAAGCCCACAAATATAGTTCCTAAATACTGTAGCTAGGTCAGTATTATTCAGTCAGTCTTCCTCCTATGTGTTTGCTTCAATCTTTTTTTAGTTTTTTCCAGAAGAACCTAAAGAAGAGAAATTCTATAGATTTCCAACAAGGAAGTCTAAACTAATCTTTTGGATTATAAATGAGCTATAATCCATGTTTTACTACACACTCTCACCCACTACAAAGCAGAACCTGCTGTCTGTCAGAAGCCAGTGCCAACAACATTGGAATTCCTTCCTACATATAACCAAAGATAATGCCTTCTCTCCTTTTGTGCCTCTGCTCCTCAGATTCAACAGCTCTTCTACTTCCACTTGAAAACTACACATTATTCACTTAGACAGTATAGTTTCTTGTCACCTGATACCCTTTTTACCTAACATTCATCACCCTGCTTAGTCTCCTTTCTATCTGTTGACACCATAGATTTGGGATCCTTTCTGTTACCTGAGGGCCCGGCTCAGCTTGTCATAGTTCATCTGTGGTTTGCACTTCCTGCGGCCCCAGAGGCGGGCCACCTCGTCTGGATCCTTGATGACAAACTCCCCGTACTCTCCCTGCTGCCAGGCAATGACATGGCGGAACTCTTCCTTTTGCAGCAACTCCAGGATGAAGTGCCACAGCTGGATCTGTCGGGAGCCCGGGGATGACTCTGTTTTATAGGCCCAATCAGGAAACTGATAGCCTTTAATGTGACAAGGGCAAGATCAAAGTTGTGAGAAGCTAGGTACATACATCCCAGTATCCCTGACTTCACATTCCAATGCTCGGATCTCTACAGTGCTGTGCAAATATGCTATAAACACCTTTCCAGTCAGCTGGGGCTAACCACAACAGGGCAGAGCAACGCAGAGTGGTTACCTTTCCTTATGGCAATCATCAAATCTGATAAGAGTTGGGCAGCAGCACCCAGGTGTCCTAATCTCTTACTCTTTCATACATTACTTAATCTCACACCTACTTTCTATGAAGGCATAAAAGTTCCAAAGGGAACAAACAGGAAATATAAACCAATGCTTTAGGAAAATACAGTTGAAAACCCCTTATCCCCAAAGTTAGAACTGTCTCTCTAACAGGAAAGAGAATCTAAATCTTGGGATAAAAGTGTGGTGACCAGACATGTTAGATATACATACAAAGGAAACAAGCCTACAACTGTCCTAGCAGTATCCACCCAGTCAAGAACCTGTCAGTCATGGTCTGGCATTTGTGAACAGAGCCCAAGTGGAGAGAAAAAGAACCATGGAGGGACATTCCAAGTAGACCAGAGATGATTCACTTCTGCTCACCTCCACCTCCTTCTGGCTTTTCCACGATGCTACAGCCTGCTTTCATTTTCACCCTCCTGCTGAGAGATACAAGCCACATCAATTACTTTAAGGTGCTATTGTTTATTACCTTCCCCAGGATTTCTGGCACAGCCTTTCCCCAAACTTCCTTTTCCTTCTTATGTAACCCTCTTTCTTTCAAACAGGTCACCTCCAAACTGTAAGCCTCAAGTCATCAAATGATGGTCCTCTGGTCATCAGCTTCAAAGGCCATAATTATCTTTCACCTGACTTTAAACTACAAGGGGTAAACACTATCTTTAATATTTGCTTTCTTTCTCCTGATCAGCTCCTTGGAAAGTAAGGGTACAGTTAAAGGAGTCCAAAGAGGCAGCCAAAACAAATCAGTTTGTCTTCTATTACTAGACAGGCCCAGATGCCAAGATATACATGCTTGAGTTCACCCAGATGTACCAGTTTAAAGAAGAGTGGAAAAAAAAAAAATCAAAATCCATCTGACTGCCACTCAAGAAAGTACATCTGATTCTGATTTCTTTTACTGAATTATGTGAGATGGGAGAAGGAAAACTCCCAGTCAGAAACTGCCCCTCCTCCTTGAAAAACACCCTGGGATACAGAGAGTAAACACACCATATATAAAGTTACTCTATACAAGAAACACACACATTTCCAAAATCTTTTTGAGAAAATAATTACATTTTCTCCCTTTAATAGAAAGAGGAGGGCGGAAAAAAACACACACACAAGCATTTCTGAGAACCTTTGTCCAGTAAGTGGAGGGAGTCTTGGTGTGATCTGAATTCACTCCATCCAGATTTACGGTACGTCAATAAATTTCCTGTTTCTAGCAGCACGCAGCTTTGTATCAATCAATCCTTTAGCAAAAAGAAGGGAAGAGTGAAACTGCCAGAGGGAGATGTGGGCAGGAGAGGCAGATCTGCCCTCACAGTTCCCCAGGGTGGATGACAGGCCCTCAGCATGTAGGTGCCTCAATGGCCTCAGGGTGGAGTGGGGACAAATTCTTAATCTTGGAAATTTCATCTAATCTAGGATTCCTCTAGATCCTTTGAATTTTTCTCCTCACCATACACATTAAGAAAACCGGTAAGTTTCAGTCTGTAAGACTACAAGGGAAAGAGGATGAAATAAATACCCCCAAGGAAGAAACAAACACAGACACAGCCACATCCATAACGGAGACAATAACAGGGCCTCCGAGCTGAGGCAGAAGCTTCCTCTCCAGCTGCTCCCATCTCCGTGACAATGAGGGAGGAAAAACACTAATTTCCCCACGGCTCCAGGAAGCCGCCCTGGACTCCTGGATGGCTCTGTCGGATCGCAGGGCCTTTATCCTGCCACTGGAATGGTCTTCAGCCACCAAGCCTCGGGTCCCAACCCCGCTGCAACAATAACTTGACTGGGAAGCTCTCTCTTGACACCCCGGCTCCCGATTTCCCCCGATAAAGCTTCCCCTCCCAGGAGCCCGGAGGCGCCTCTGTAGGAGTTTCACAAATTCACTCCGAGGACACTGTCCAATTACGGCCACTCATCCCAACTCCGCAAATCCCACCAAGGCCCCTCGCCCTTCCTCGGGTCCCGAGCACTCCCCGAAGAGTGAAGCACACAGAGTCTGGCGCTGCGGCTCCCCGGCTCGGCCCGCGGCCCCCGCAGCCTCCCTCCTTCTGGCTTCCCGGCCGGGTCCCCCTCGCTCCGTGGCACGAACGCTGCCCTGGAACCCCGTCGCCTCACAGACACCCGGGCGCCCTCCCTCCCCCGGCCCCCCCC